TTGCTTGCTTGCTTGCTTGCCTGTCTTGGCTTCTACTTTGTGTGTGTGGCAATGGCCAACTGATGACTATAGCAACAAGAGATGTCTTGTAGGTGGTGCAAGTGATGATTTCCTTACATGTGTGAATGGTCCACCACAGCTGTAACACCACAAAATTTTCATATCACACCACAATGCTTTTCACATGTTTAGATCCCATGAAGGAGCAGCAATGGTGAGTCCCGCCTCATGTGCTAAGGTCTTCTCAGGAAAGTCCCTTTCATCTGGAGTATAACAATTGCCTACAGGAGCTAGATCAACATTCTCAAAACTTGTTTCATTCCAGATGTTTTGGACGACAGCTCCCATCACCCCCATGTTGGTAGAGGGGAGATGGAGTCCAAAGCATCTGGATGGCACCCGGGTGGCATTTCCAATGGTGGTTCCCCAGCTGGAGGACCCGAGAGGGATTTTATCTGAATAATATACTGGATAGATCCTGGGTTAAGCGGTTGCCTGGTTAAATTTCTGGGCCTTCAGAGAAGTAATGCTAGTTCCTCACTGCTTACTTAGGACAAGGGTGCTCTTAGAGCTGTAGCAGTACTACCTTCTGCCTGCATAGAGAGATTTCATAAGCAGCCCAAGAAGGCCATTTTGGTTGATAGATAATTTAAGGCTGACACTGGTAAGCTGACATAGAAGGATCCTTCACACGGACATAGGGCAAACCTGGACCAGCCAATGTGTCTGACAATACTTGCTCCTGTACAAGTTTACCTCTAGGATAGACATAAGAGATGCTCACAAGTTACTTCCAACGAGCGTATAATCTGTGTACTTGTGTTTACAGTAGTTGACCTCTACAAAACATTTGCACACATGTAGAGATTTGCACTGGCGCTCAATGTAAACAAGCCTATAGTTAGTTGTGTGAAGGAAGAGGGGGAAACATGTGAACAAGCCTATAGTCAGTGGAGGCTGGTCAATAAGGGCAAATGAGACACTATCCATCAACCTCAGTCTGCCCACAGCCAGTCCCCCACCTGCCTGCCTTTTAGCTTACAACCAGCCCAGGGGGTAGCCCTGGCTGTGATCTTCTTCTGCCTTTGCCTCAGTGCTTCACTTGTGAAACTCAACCGGGAGGAGGATGGGGAGAAAACTAGAATTAGTTGGCTCTGCACATCATTGGCTCTGGCGCCATCTACTGTTAGGCTCCCTGCCTTCTGCCCTACCAGCCCCAATGGGCACCAGTCATCACTACCTAGAGTTACACAGTGTGAAGCATGTTTGCAAACACCTTCATCTGTACAGTGGTGCCCCGCAAGACGAATGCCTCGCAAGATGGAAAACTCACTAGACGAAAGGGTTTTCCGTTTTTTGAGCTGTTTCGCAAGACGAATTTCCCTATGGGCTTGCTTCGCAAGACGAAAACGTCTTGCAAGTTTGTTTCCTTTTTCTTAACACCATTAATACAGTTGCGACTTGACTTCGAGGAGCAACTCATAGAACGCAGTGTACATAGTAGCCTTTTTTGAGGTTTTTAAAGACTTTGGTGATTTCTGAAGCTTTTCCAAGACTTCGTTTGCAGCCATTTGGTAAGTTAAGCTTTTAAAACTTTTTGTGGTAGTTTTGGATTTTGGGTTGGTGTGTTTGGAATTCAAGGACTTGGTGTTGGGGAGGGGTTTGCAAGAATCTGGAAGCTTGTGTGTTTTTTTCCTGCATTTTTATGATTTTCTGTGACCATTGGGGCACTCTGCTGTTTTTTTAAAAAAATTCTGGATTTGAATTTTTGTGTGCTGGGTGGCTGGGGGAACAGTTGGGGAGGGGTTTGCAAGAATCTGGAAGCTTGTGTGTTTTTTTTATGCATTTTTATGATTTTCTGTGACCATTGGGCAACTCTGCTGTTTTTAATAATTTTCTTGGTTTGAATTTTGAAATGCTCTTTACAGGATGTGTGACTTTAAAGAGCATTTAATAAACTCTTGTTGTACCAAATTTGGCTTTGTTTGGACTTTTGTTGACCCTCGGAACGCATTAATTGATTTTCAATGCATTCCTATGGGATTTCGTCCTTCGCAAGACAAAAAATTCGCTAGACGAAAAAATTCGCGGAACGAATTAATTTCGTCTTGCGAGGCACCACTGTATTCTCTACTAGTGTGCATGTTTGTTTCATTTGCACATATTTAGGTGAACAAGTAGGTGCAGGTCTAAACATGATGTGTGTGAAGATAAAAATTGGAAGATACATAACACACACACAAACATCACAAACCAACTGATGTGCAGGGAATCATCCTGTAAGTATACATGCGCTCTCTCTCGCTCTCGCTCTGTGTGTGTGTGTGTGTGTTTTCCGGGGGAACTCTGGGGACTATCCGTCACACTTCTTATTTTGCTGAAGCAGCAAGATTCTGATCATTTCTTAGGCCTTTCTTGATTGAGGGCACCAAAATGGTGCACTTACAAGTTAAGACATTTGCATTGTGAAATTACCATCTACACTTTTAACTTAATTTGCTGACTCAATTTAGAAAAGCTAAACTGAATGAGCTGGAAGGCTGACAGCCTGCTCTTGCATTCCTCACTCAAGCAAATACTCCATTTAGTATAAATGATGAATGGGCAATTCAAGAGGATCCTTCCATTCCTTCTCAAACACAGAAAATCAAGGTCATGCAGCTGCGAAAGTCAGGCTGGAGAAATCTCGCTTTTGTATTCCTCCCCAGGCTGGATTTAAATAGAAGACAAAGATTTGATTGCCAGCCTCACTGTCACTCACATCAATAGATGGATAAATAGAGGGAGAGACAGTTCTCAACACCCCACCCTACGCTCTCAAAGGTCTAGTCCTGTTCAGGAATTACACCTATACATAGGGCCGAACATCCATATATTCCTCCTTCAGACCTTCCCTAACCATATATAGTCATACTTTGGTTGACAAATACCTTGTGAGTCGAATGTTTTGGCTCCTGAATTCCGCAACTCTGGAAGTGAGTGTTCCGGTTTGCAATCATTCTTTGGAACCCAAATGTCCGACGCGGCTTCCAATTGACTGCAGGATCTTCCTGCCGCCAATCAGAAGCTGTGCCTTGGTTTCCGGATGTTTTAGAAGTCAAAAGGACTTCTGGAAAGGATTCCGTTCAATTTCTGACATACAACTCTAAAGACGAATGGAGCAGAAGTATGGTGATGCTGGTGACACATCTAGGTTCAACTCATTCTTCCCCTCCACCCATTAGCCCAATGTGTGTGGGATAGCATCTGAACTGGGCTTCTGACATACTCTAGTATGACCGTGAAAAAGAATCCACATAAGGGCCAAGCAGGTAGAAGCAAGTTTGATTCTTTGGCCTCTCACCAGGGATCGGCAGAAGCTTTACCTCTCACCCAAGTAGCATGTACAGATTCACTTGTTTATAAACAGAGATGCTGGTGAAGCACACTGGGCTTGGACCCAGATACGGATACTTTGGGAACTCATATTGCTCATGGGCATTCTGAGTTTGAATTAAAATCTGGAATTCCTCAACTGCATCCTCAAAATCTCCTCTGAACCGTACCCTTGAAATCCAGCTTATGCAGCCATGTGGTTGCTGAGAAGAAGCAGTTCTTCAGTGCAGCAATGGTGAGAAGAAATGGGGGAGTTTTCTCCCTCTCTCTGCTGCCTGAAATGCCCTGGTGTCCTTCAAGTTTAAAGACTCTAGTAGCTTTTGGGAAATGTATTTTTTCTCAAGGGCTATTGTCATTGCATCTGAAGATAGGCTGACTCAAAAAAATAAGCTACTTCTGGGATATTTTTTTGGGGGGGCGGGTAGCTCAGCTTATTTTCCAAGCCAGTTTGATGTGAGACCAGGGGACACAATCTAATACCACACTATACCATAATACCACACTAGATCTGTATATCAATTGCTTCCGCCACAGAATCCAAACTGATGTGACCAGAAAACACCATCGCTTACAACAAAATCTAAACCATGCTGAAAGGAGGGCCATAGACAATCTCAGGAGCAACCCAGACATTATACTTAAAGAGGCAGACAAGGGTGGAGCTGTAGTCATCATGAACAAAACTGATTACATCCAGGAGGCTCACAGACAAGTCTCCAATACCGCCTTTTACAAAAAACTGGACTCAGACCCCACACAGGAATACAAAAAAGAACTGAACAAGATTGTTAAGGAGCTACAGCCACACATCCAAGAACTGATCCTCTCAAACACACCAGCAGAACCTCGACCAGGAACCTTCTATCTTCTACCAAAAAACCCAAACCAGGAAACCCAGGACGCCCCATCAACTCAGGTATCAACATAATCAAGTAGTTAGGACTTGCTCCCATGGGTAAACGTAGAGCATAGTACTTGGGTGAGCACAAAATCTGTCTGCAAACCATTATGCTAAGTGGCCCCACTGTGTCTCATAGGAATCCTGTAGGGTGCAGATAGGCATACTGCAATCCCAAGGACCCTTGCAATGCACAACTCTCCCTGCAAACACACACACCCCATGAATCATAATGACAGGCATTTTGCCAGTTTAAAATATTCACTAGTATCTCAGTTATATCTCAGTAGGGTCATTAAACCTACTTTCCCTTTTAAGCTCACTGCATAAACCATTAACCCGGGAAATGCAAAGGAAGAAAAAAATCAATTAAAAAGGACAAGCTATCTGACAAGTGATACAAGAACATAGTAGAGCATTGAGAGATTTTTGTAACAATTAGCTGTGGAGATAGAAAAGCTGAAGGAATCATTCCTCTTCCCTTTTCTTCTTCATTTTTTTCAGATCCGTACCATTCAGCACTGAGTACGTTAGGTGGTTGTTGTTGTTTTTAATCTAGCAAATTAAGCAAAAGATTTTGCTCCTGCAGCCATAATGGGTATTTTCTTATGCAAGTCCTTTATTGTGCTGCTTTGATAATCATACCTTTATTTACAGGTAGGTAGCTGTGTTGGTCTGCCATAGTCGAAACAAAATAATAAAATTCCTTCCAGTAGCACCTTAGAGACCAACTAAGTTTGTTATTGGTATGAGCTTTCATGTGCATGCACACTTCTTCAAATACTGAAGAAGTGTGCATGCACACGAAAGCTCATACTAATACCTTTATTGTCATTGTACAACCTGTGTATAGTGAAATTAAACGAGCCCCCCCCCCCAATACTCAATCTCTTATCGAACAACACAACACCTCCCAAGTCAATTGCGCTATGTTATTTTCCGTTCAGCAGCCTAACAGCCCACAGATAGAAGCTATTTTTTAGCCTGTTGGTACGGCTGATTATACTTCTATATCTCCTGCCTGAGGGTAGAAGATTAAAGAGGTGATGGCCAGGGTGTAAGTCATCCCTAAGAATTTTTCTCGCTCTCCTAAGGCAACGATCCCTTGCGATGTCATCTAGCGGACTCAAGGAACAGCCCATGATATCATGTGATGTATTCACCACCCTCTGTAGAGACTTTCTGTCCGTGGCTGTTTGGTTCTGTATCCTGGCTCACATACACCTGGCCCAGGTTTGGATGATAATTCAGGAATCCTATTTGGCCATGGCTTCACCATCCACACAAAGACACCCATCCAAATGGGTCCTTTGCCTGAACAACCCTATGCACATAGCCCCAACATGTTCCTTCCTATGTTCCTCACAGACTGCAAAAGGCACGTTCCTGTACTGTAAATGTTCATTACCTGTTTAAGGGCTCAGCAAAGGTAGACATTCTGGAATCAGCAATCCAAACACATATGCATGATACAGGTGATTGACGCCATCAAAGCTGGCAACATTGGCTGTTGTTGATAGTTTATGAACTATCTGGTCTCAGTCCGGCATCAGAACACATGTATGCTTACCAGGGCTGGCCCACCCATGAGGCAAGCTGAGGTGACTGCCTCAGGCAGCAGGATTCACGTGAGGAGCAGATCCAGCCTCCAAGGAATGCATCGCTTGCCGCCACAGCCATGGTAGTAGTAACAGCTGCTGTATACCACTTGGATGCTGGATCCGCCGCCTCCTTGGCAACTCCTTCCAATGACGCCTCAACAATGGCTGCTTGGTGAATAGGGGGCACTATGTTGAAAAAATATCTATAGTGATGAAGATATGAAGATATGACTGCAATCCACTATCTACGTACCTGGAAATAAGCCCCATTTAATATGTGGGACTTACTTTTGAGTACTGAGAAAAGGTTAATCACAGTAAATGTTATTCAAATACACTGCTTTGTATATTAATCATGAATACTGTATATCCAAGAGCAGGCTTTTAAGCCTCGCTGAGAATCCTGTTCTCCTTACCGAAATTTCTCCCAACTCACCCCCCTGCTGAAATCAGAAATGGTACTTGTGAAAACTTCCCCAAATATGAGAGCAGTTCAAAAATGATATCGGCTGCCTTGGGAGGTCCTTGGGAGATTTCTTGATGCGAAGATTGGACAGGCCTTTGTTGTGTATCCTTGAGATACATAAAGTATTTTGCTTTAGGGCAGAGGATTGGAGTAGATGATTTGTTAGACACACGCACGCATGCACGGACGCTCTGTAGATGATTCTACAGAGAAGGGAAACAAATATTTTCTGGAACGGCTTTGAAAAACCATTTCCTAACATTTTCCCCCCAAACCATCTCTCCAAACCTGTTTCAGGATCCCTAGACAGAGTAACGTAAGATGTACAGCAGAACACTTAAGTCAGTATAGATACAGCACAGGCATATTATCATCTACCATGGACTGGGTGGGTGGAGAGGACCAGCAGGGGAACCTCCAAGGGAACCCCCAGGGGAAGAAGGCTCGGAGCAAGGGGATTGGTGGAGGGATGGCAACCAGTGATGAGGGAGAGAAGAAGGAGCAGACTGGGAGGACAAGTCAGAAGCTGAAGAGGCAAACAGGGCTTAGTGAGCAGGAAGAGGCTGGGGAAGAAAGCAGTCCGGACTCAGGAGAAGAAGCAGAGGGGGGTTAAGAAGCAGAGTGGAGCCAAGCTGCTGAAGAATCCAGGGAGTCTCCCCTTCCTGCTGAGACTAGCTCCCCTCCCCGCTGGTCTCCCAGAAGCAGCAGAGAAATGAAGAGAGACTAGATGGAGCCTCAAATTGCTTGGGAAGGACCTGGGGAGGGAGAGCAGTGGGAAGGTGGAGACCTTCAGTCCTTGCAACTGCCTCAATGGGACAAGACCTACCTAAGGGTTGCTGTGACCACTAGGACTGAGCTGTTTTGTTTCTTTGAATAAAGAGTTAACTTCACCGAAATCGGGTGCTTTATTGTTTTATCACTGACCTATTTGTTGTTGCTGTTTAGTCATTTAGTCGTGTCCGACTCTTCGTGACCCCATGGACCAGAGCACGCCAGGCCCTCCTGTCTTCCACTGCCTCCCGCAGTTTGGTGAAACTCATGCTGGTAGCTTCGAAGACACTATCCAACCATCTCGTCCTCTGTCGTCCCCTTCTCCTTGTGCCCGCCATCTTTCCCAACATCTGGGTCTTTTCCAGGGAGTCTTCTCTTCTCATGAGGTGGCCAAAGTATTGGAGCCTCAGCTTCACAATCTGTCCTTCCAGTGAGCCCTCAGGGCTGATTTCCTTAAGAATGGATAGGTTTGATCTTCTTGCAGTCCATGGGACTCTCAAGAGTCTCCTCCAGCACCATAATTCAAAAGCATCAATTCTTCGGCGATCAGCCTTCTTTATGGTCCAGCTTTCACTTCCATACATCACTACTGGGAAAACCATAGCTTTTACTATACGGACCTTTGTTGGTAAGGTGATGTCTCTACTTTTTAAGATGCTGTTTAGGTTTGTCATTGCTTTTCTCCCAAGAAGCAGGCGTCTCTTAATAACTGACCTATACCTGACTCCAGCTCTTGATCCCAGCTTCCATGCTTTGAAAGTTGTATGTCCTATGTATGGACATTTGAAAGGGGCACTGATTTCGCAAATAAACATTATACATTATACTAGGGTGGCTGCAGACAAAAAAAAGCTTTATTATAAGATGGTAGTGGACATAGTAGAAGTTCGTCCAGGTTGAGAACAGCACCAAGTAGACCGTACCACATATGTTCATAGCTTAAGTCCCCAAAGCATTTTTAAAAGGGCAAATACACTGGGGGGAGGGATAGACTAGAAAATACAGTACGTATTATAGCCAAAACTGGATATGGATATCGACATTTATTAAGACAAATCTTCATAGAATTATCAATTATGTAAAATGCATACCTAATCAAGTCCTTCCGAAACACTGTGCTGAGCGACACTGTGTGTAAGATGCACTGTATATATCAAAAGCCAAAATTAGCCAAATTCTGTTCATCACTCAGATGTCTCAATTTATTCAGTCAATTTGCTCATCAGTGCTAAACCCCGTACCCTTGTGTACCACTTAACAGCATAAGCGAAGCATGATTCTTCCATTCATTAGGAAATGTGTTGCCAGCAACAGCGACTAAATGCTTGTGAAGCGAGTCACCCCATCAAAAAGTCCCAAGGTTAACTTAGGGTTTAGAATTGCCATCCTGCTGCATAACTCTTCTCTGTTTCCGGGAAGCTGTTATTGAAGGAAACTGCTCAAGTGCTCAAAGTCCGCTGGAGAAACAGAAATGGTAGGAAGCAGTAACCCTCCCATATCATTTCCCATATTTCCCTCCACTGACTCAGGAATCCTGCAAAATCTAAAGTTCACCTACTGATTGTGGGTTTTGAGAACTTCACGTTTAAATTGCAGCTCTCTGGTAGCTTTCGTCAAGACATGTAATCTATCTTTATGTTTCAGTCCCATTTTGAATGGCTGCATTAGCTGTGACTGAGATGTCAAAAGATCTCAGGAAATTTATCTTCCCAAGTTTTGATAGCACTTACTGAGTCCGCTTTTAGATGATATTTCAAAACCAGAGAGACCTTTTCCGTGTCAAGTGCTGCATGTCATAGTAGGTGTGGCTGAAGTGTCAAAGTGGGTGAGGACAATATATGTATATTTAAGGATGCATTTAGGGAGTTTGGGAGGGGGTCCCATTTTGGGGGGCATCACAGAATCACAGGCGGGGACCCACTGGAATTATAGTTTGTTTGTTTTTTAAATAATAATAATAAGGAGGAAATTTTGAGGGGTCTTGGAAGCTACAAAAACTTTCTGGCATCACAGTGAGGTAACTATGGCAGCAGTTAGTTGAAAAAACCCAACAACCTCAAAAAGTTATGAGGCCACAAAAATCTTTTTGACATAGAAAGGGAACCACAGGAGAAGTAAACATAATAAAACAAAATAAAACACAATGGCAAATGTGGGGCTCCAAAACATTTTCTATGAGCTGAGGGTTATCCACCCTTGTTTTAAAAGTTGCATCACATTTTGTTTGATCTTATTTAAAATGTGATTCCTCCCCGCCCCTGTCTATTGTCTTCTCAACTGAATCTCAATCTGACATTGAGGCTTTTTTTTTGCTTTTTTTGAAACAAAAAGCCTACAATTTCTTTCCTCATTGTAGGTTGCCAGCCTATACCCAGTTATCTGGCAGTTAAGTCCAATTGAACATAGTTGAGCTTACTTCTGAGGATTGAACGGAACAGAACTATTATGAAGTAAAAGTTAGACACAAGTCTGTTTTAGTTACTTTCCCCCTGTTTCCAACCAATTCCAAAAATGATAAAACAGTATGGATGCTTGCTGGGTCATAATTCTTCTGTTTTTACTTCAAGCTGAGTAGTCTGAGCATACGCACACGCACACGTAATATTTCTGGCAATATCTAATCTCACGATGTCCCTGAACACTAAAAAAAAAAAAGAGGTAGTCTTTCCAGAGGCATACAAAAGAACTCCTGAAAGAAATTGGGTGAGCTTTGAAACTGATAACCAGCTGGTTCCCAAGTAGCAGGCTGCTTGGCACTGAGCAAGTCTAATAATAGGCTGGAAAGAATGACTGTTTGGCTTATGTTTCCAGAATGTCTGGCTGAGCATATTCCTCAGTCTGCTACCAAACCATCTCACTTTATGGACCACCTGAGAAACATCAGCCCTTTCATGAACTGAAAGGAACACAAACACCATGCCAGGTTTGCACTTCACACAGAAAAAAATACCATCCCGGCTGTCATGTTTATAAGTTTTATGGCCTTTGGCATGAAACATCTAAGGCTTCCATACCTGTTTGAAAAAGGATACCAGGAGAATAGCAAATGGAGAAATCCATTCCCTTGTTGCTCCCAATGCAGATGCAACAACCAGCACAAACTCTTTAAGAACATAAAAGAAGAAGAAAAGACATACACACATCCCCCCAAAAACCCCACCAGCAATCTTAGTTATTTAATACTTCTCTCTGTGCATAAATATTATTTACATTCATGGGAATAATTCTGCTTTAAATATGTGACTTATTCTGCTCAAGAGGAATGAAATGAGGTAGATGTTTAGATACACAGTTTGCATGATAGAATCTAGTGTTTTGAATTCTTCTGTATATTAATGGTTTTCTCTTATGCTTCAGTTTTATTTCGAGGCACAAGAATAGATACAACTCACGAATTAAATCTCAGCTATACGCAAAGACAAATAGAACTATCTAAAAATCCCATTACCGACTCAATTACAACATATCTGTCAGACAAATATATGGAACGTAATCCACTCAGAGCGAAACTCTTGGAAGCCCCATTCATTTCAATCAGAAATATCTAAACACATGCTTAACACTCACATTGGAATCACTGAGAAATGAACATGCTGAAAGCTCTGTGGATTGTGCTCATTATATTCCTATTTGGAAAAAGAGATTGTAAATCATGTGACATATAAGCTATATTATGCTTAAGAACCTTCTACGAAGGATAACTTTTGCCATGTTTTAATGCCATTATTTCCTGACTTTAGACATACCTAAAGCTGAGCAGAACCCAGGCAGTTGGGGGTGGTGTCTGAACGATGACAAGATGTATGCATGGCTCTTTCCCAGGGAATGATGATCATGCACATAGAAAAGTGAGTCTCAGGGGCATCTGCACTTGCAATTAAAAATGAATTTAGTACTGCAGGGATCTGCATTACTTTGCACTGGAAATCCACAGAAGCCCTGAGAATCATAAGCTAGATTAGAAGAATTTAAGGATCACTCTTAAAATTAATATCATTATTTAGAAGTTGCTGCATATCTCAAGCCAATACATTAACAGAAGTATGGTCTAATAGTTTAAAATAATTTTAAATAGTTGTTTTTAACTCTCTCTCTTTTTACCAATAATGTGTTTTTTCCCCTTTTTTGTAAACCATCTTGAGGTTTTATTGCAAACAAGCAGTATATAAATTTTATGAAACAAAAATAAATGGTGAAATACATAATAAACAAAATATAGCTCAGTCGGAAGAGCACGAGGCTCTGAATCTCAGAGTCATGGGTTTGAGTTCCACGTTGGGCAAAAGATTCCTGCATTACAGAGGGTTAGACTAGATGATCCTCGTGGTCCCTTCCAATTCTACGGTTCTATGATTCTAATACCTTCTTGGGGTTATTTATTATTTTCATTCAAACACATTGCATATTATCCTTGCTGTTTTGTTTGGTTTGGGCCCATAATTTTCAGTGAGGTCAATTCACACAGTCTTAAGTCATCAAGTGATCTGAAATGGAGTTATCTGAAGGCAACTAAGTTTGAACCAGCACTTGGTCTAGTTGCAAAACTTTATGAAATCAACCCACCAAAACATTTAACTTTAAATTGGAATGCCGCAAGAAAAAGTCCGATGTTGCTAACCCAGAATTAATTTCCCCTGGTTGTTTGGTCATGTAATTCTAAACAAATAGGACATCATTTCCGAAAGATCATCAAATAACTTGTCGGAGGCAACACAGCAAGTCAATGAACTAGTTTAGGAATAAAGTCCAGGAATCTTGGTTTTGACTCTGTTTTTCTGTTTGCTCAAAAACACTGTGAGCCAGGCCTTGGGGCACAAATGCAAATGCTCACTTGATTGTTAGAATATAAATTGGTGGAGCTACAAGGCCAAAGGCTTGAAAGCTAAATACTTATTTTGATAAATGCTCTCTAAGAAGACACAGGGATTCCTGAAGTGATGGTTGAAATTCAGAAGGTAGGAGAAGTCAAGCAAGCCTCTAAGCTAGCTTTGGAAGGGGCTGTTGAATAGAAATGGGACACAGTAAGGGGAATCTGAATGAAGAAGCAGAATAAAATGTACATAGATTTGGAACAGGTATTTTTTTAAAAACTGAACAGGCCAAGTTCTGGTTTGGGCTACAACTGACAGCCAAAGTTCCATGGCAGCTGAGCTAAAATCGATGTCCAGAAGCAAATTATGTTGTAATCATAGCTCTGAAGACAAGTCCAAGATGGAAGCCAAAAAAGGAAGCTCCGGAATATGAGCCAAAACACCAGTCACTAGAAGTGTGAAGCCAAGGCTCAGAAGAAAGGATCAAAAGCCAAAGCTGTATTGAAAGCCAGGTTGAGCAGATCTGGATTAAACGGTGGCGAATTCTGGCCACAGTGGGATCAAAGGGCCCATTAAGGCAACAATCCACACAGCCAGAAGGTCTGTCAGGTTCACATGGGCTCTCCAACGACAACTGGACTTCCATGGCATATCACTCAGACTGTTTCCTATTGTACAGTATAGAAGAAATTGTTGTTCTGTCTAGGTCTACATATCCTCAAACATTTCTCCGATGAAAATAGGGACATCCCATTCCATAATGATAATTTCACCATTTCTACCCTACACATCTTACTGGGTTGCCCCAGCCGCTCTGGGCAGCTTCTAACATTTACCGTGGTACCTCTGGTTACATACGCTTCAGGTTACAGACTCTGCTAACCCAGATATATTACCTCGGGTTAAGAACTTTGCTTCAGGATGAGAACAGAAATTATGCAGCGGCGGCACGGCAGCAGTGGGAGGCCCCATTAGCTAAAGTGGTGCCTCAGGTTAAGAACAGTTTCAGGTTGAAAACGGACCTCTGGAACGAATTAAGTATGTAAGCAGAGGTACCACTGTATACAAATGTAATAAAACATTAATCATTAAAAAGCTTCCCTATACAAAGGATGATCAAGTAAAATCCTCAGTGATACACCGGGCAATAGATATTGGTCATAATATAAACATGGAAGAATGGGAACGATTTTGGAATATGGATATAAATTTTACAGTGTGTTATGGTCTAAGAGAAAAGTATATGAAAATGATATATCGTTGGTATCTAACACCAAGGAAACTGGCAAAAATGTATAACTATAAATCAAACAAGTGTTGGAAATGTAAAGAGAAAGAAGGTTCTTTTTATCGTATGTGGTGGTCTTGTAGTAAGGTTAAAGCTTACTGGAAAATGATATATAATGAATTGAAAAGGATGTTCAAAATAACCTTTGTAAAAAACAACAACACAAAAGCTTTTCTTTTGGGAATTATAGGGACAGAACTACCTAAATTGTATAGAATTTTTAAAATGTATGCTACTCAGTTCGAAAGCACGTCAACACGTGCTCTCCATGAAGGAGAACACGCTTTCCTCTAACATTTTAATCTTTTCTAGATTTTAAATTGTTTATTCGTTTGCCCTCTAAGTCCCTAGTGGAAGGGGTGGAAGAAATTTCACCAATGTTGCATGAGAGTGGAAACAACCTACTGGAACTTCCAAACTGGCATGTAAAAATCATCGTGTGGTAATTTTATTATGTGGCATCCCACATTAGTCAGAGTTAACCCGCTGAAGTTATTGCCGTTGTTGTGGGGTGTTGTTGTTGTTTTGAAATATATTATTTGTATTTTTGTATTTTTTGCCTTTTGTAATTTTAAAATTTATTTCATTGTACATTGGCTAGAGAACCATGTTATGGGATGACTAACAAATACAAAACAACAACAACAAAAAAAAACCATATCAGGAGAGAGAGAATGAGAGAAATTGCTTGTTTGGAAACTTTTGGATCTGTTTGAGAAACAGAAGGCTCGTTTATTGTTCAGACCTTCAAAACATGGTGGCTGCTTGCACTACAAATTTCCACATTTAGCAAAAGGTGTGAAGCACTGCCTGTTTATGGGTTTTATGTACACTTAATCAGTAAACCTGACTGTACACAGCATTCCCAGTCATGCAGAAGACCCCAAACATATACAGTGGTACCTCGGTTTAAGAACAGCCCTGGTTACGAACTATTCAGTTTACGAACTCCACAAAACCGGAAGTATTGTCCCGGTTTGCAAACTTTACCTGGTGGAAGGGCACTGGAGGCGGGAGGCGTCATTAGGTAAAGCGCACCTTGGTTTAAGAATGGTTTTGGTTTAAGAACGGGCTTCCGGAACGGATTAAGTTCATAAACCAGGTACCACTGTACAGTAGTGCACGTGTAGAGGTTTATTTACACCTTCATGTATGGAAGATAGGGTCAGGAGCACTTTTTTGAGGATCTGAACAGGACTACATAGAAATATGCCACCGTAACAGACAGGCTTTGTTGAGAACTGTGAGGCCCAGATAAAGCAACAACAGCAGCAGCAACAGCAAAAACAACAAAATTTTCCTTCTGCAGTCACCCACACTGCCATTGGGGGAGCAGGAACATAGGCAAGGATCAAGCAAGTCTTTCAAACACAGCTGACTTTTACATGCACTGCCCTTCCAGCGGGGCATTTGATTGGCTCATTTTATTTTGACTTTCTGGTGAGGAGACCTACTCAGTATTTCTGCTGGGCAAGGAATTCCCTTAAATGGCCGGCTGACACATGGGTTTCCGCTGCTGGGGACAGCAGGTGGGGCAAAGGTCTACAGCTGCCACCCACCTGAGAAGGATGAGCAGCCATCACTTGCATAACATGCATTGTGCGACTTGCTGTGATTAAAATTGATTATAGCTTAGTAATTATTTGTTGTAATGGTAAAGAGTGAATTTCTGTTTAATTGTTATTTGCTGATGTTCTGAGAATTAATCTTATTGTGTGCTATTCTATTCTAATAGATTACTGAATATTATGTTATTTGATATAAGTTGTTCCATTTTTAAAGTCATGTTTTATCATTACTTTTTTGTACAGTCATACCTTGAGTTGAATGTGCTTCAGGTTGAGCGCGTTCGAGTTGCGCTCCACGGCAACCCGGAAGTAACGCCGCTCGCGCATGCGCAGACGCTCAAAATGACATCACGTGCATGTGCGGAAGCGGTGAAACGCGACCCGTGCACATGCGCCGTTGTGTCTTGCTTTCCATTCAGGATGCGAACGGGGCTCCAGAACACATCCTGTTCGCATCCTGAGGTACCACTGTATTGGGATCAGGTTTGTGTTCTTTGTTGTATACAGTGGTACCTCTGGATACGAACGGGATCTGTTCCGGAGCCCCATTTGCATCCTGAAGCGAACGCAACCCGCATCTGCGCACGTCGCGATTCGCTGCTTCTGCGCATGCATGTGACGTCATTTTGACTGTCTGCACATGTGCAAGTGGCAAAACCCAGAAGTAACGCGTTCCATTACTTCCAGGTCGCCGCGGAGCGCAACCCGAAAATGCTCAACCTGAAGCAACTTCAACCCGAGGTATGACTGTAGTTTGTTGCAGCAAACCACCCTGTGTATACAGTGGAACCTCGGGTTACATATCGTCCTTCTTACAAGCGCTTTGTGTAACGAGCTCTGCTAACCCAGAAGTAGATGCTCCTGGTAGCGAACTTTGCCCCGTGATGTGAGCGGAAGTCACGCGCTGGCGGCAGCGGGAGGCCCCATTAGTGAAAGCGCGCCTCAGGCTAAGAACGGTTTCGGGTTAAGAACGAACCTCTGGAACGAATTAAGTTCATAACTGGAGGTACCACTGTAGTAATATAGAAAGGTGGTATACAAATGAAAAGCAAAATGATAACTACAGGCACTCAAGAGGTCCAAAAAGGCACTGATATTCAACCACATCCCTCCCCCCCCCCTCCCCGACTATGATAGCTGTATGGCATTTCCATCTTCAGAGGTGCTGTTCCTCTGATTACTAGATGCTGAGGACAAAGAACAGGGGTGGCATTTCCCTTCAAATCCTGCTTGTGAGCATCCAGGTACATTAGGCTCTCTGCTATTGCCAAAATAATTTTGGGCTAGCTAGACCGTAGTTGGATTCAGCAAGGCAATAGCTGCTGGGGGGGGGGGGGCAGGGACACTCTGCTTATTGCTATGATGATGTATTATATTCCCAGGCCAGCCATTGCTTCCTTCCACAGATTCTGCAACTATGCCCTCAGCAATTATAATGCAAAACGAAAAGAGAGCACTGTACCCAGCTTGCTGCCAGACCAACATTTGTCTGCTAAATCCGTGCACCAGGCAATATTTTGTTATGGCCAGTATGTTTTCAGCCTTTCGAACAAGAGGAATGCAAATAGGGCTTGCAGCTTTCCAGCAAACTATTTGTAATTTCCATTGATGCGGATCA